GTGGGGCTTGAACTCTGGGCCTGGGCGCTGTCCCTCAGCTCTCCAGCTCAAGGCGAGCGCTCTACCACTTGAGCTACAGCGCCACTTCCAGTTTTCTGGTGGTTTATTGGAGATAGGAGTCTCACAGTCTCTCCTGCCCAGGCTGGCTTTGAACTGCGATCCTCAGATCTCAGTCTCCTGAGTAGCTAGGATTACAGGCGTGAGCCACCAGCGCCCGGCTCGTGTTCTGCATCTTGTATATATACATTTTTGTAATTTGGGGAGGGGAAGGGGTGTAACGGAATGCTTAAATGGGGATGCAGGTTGACCCATTGTGAGGATGAGATGTACAGGACACTGTTGAAAATAAACTTTACAATGTAAGGAGTGGGGAGGGAGGAGGTGGGGAGGGATGTGAGGTGGGAAAAATCAAAGGAGGGGGTAACAATGCTCGATAGGAAATGTACTCATTACCCTATTCATGTAACTCTAACCCCTCTGCACTGAGACTATCTCCTACCTCAGACAAACTGGGTATGGTGATAGATGTCTCTGTAGCCCCCCACTATGTAAGATGGAGAAAGGTCAAAGTTGAAGACTAACTCTGGGCAAAAAGCCCAATATACTATCTGCAAATATAACTGAAGCCGAAAGGCCCGGGAACATAACAAGTGCAGGCCTTGAGTTCAGTACTGCTCAAAAAAGTCTTTCTCTGTAGACGTATGTATTCAGTTCTTCCACCTGCAGACAAGATACCTACTATATGCCTGGTACTGTTGGGGGACTCATGTATCGAGTTTCTGTGAACAGTTTGACAAGTTGGTGTGGAGTGTATATGTTCACAGATGGGAAGGAGGCTCGTGGTTACCTGACATTATAGCACACACAGCCCAGGAGTACAGGGATTGGAATTAGAGTACAATGATATTTTATATAAAACTTTTAAAATTTTGAGCCAGTCGCTGGCGGTTCACACTGGTAATCCTAGCTACTCGAGAGGCTGAGATCTGAGGATCATGGTTCAAAGCCAGCCTGAGCAGAAATGTCCCCCTGAGACACTTATTTCCAATTAACTACTCAAAAACTGGTAGTAGAGCTTGTGGCTCAAGTGGTAGAGTACTAGCTTTGAGCAAAAGAGCTCAGGGACAGTGCCCAGGCCCTGAGTTCAAGTCCTACTCCTGACCAAAAAGAAATTTTTTTTGTTTTGTTTACCATGGTTTTTATCCTACTTTATTCAGTTACTCTATAAAGTAGAGTAATTGTTTCTAGAATGTAGTACTAGATAGGGCATTTTTTATTTTGTGATAGTATTTGAAGTCTGTCTAGGTAAAAAATTCCAGAATGAACTATATTTGCTAGTTGTTTTCATTGAAAGAGAGAACCACTAGTTAAGCAGGAGAGAGTTATAGTTAAAATGGCTTAGATTTTGTTTTTTGTTTTTTTTTTTTTTTGGGGGGGTCGGCAGTGGGGCTTGAACTCTGGGCCTGGGCGCTGTCCCTCAGCTCTTCAGCTCAAGGCGAATGCTCTACCACTTGAGCTACAGCGCCACTTCCGGTTTTCTGG